ATACCCAATGGGCCCTCAAGGCTGAGCTGGTCCTCCTTTGCTCCAACTGGTTTAGTGATGTGAGGGTCCAGAGCTAGTGGTGGGAGCAGCAGTCCAGGAACTGGGGTGTCCGGGGCACCATGGAGGCAACAATAACTCCAGGGGAATTAAAAGCTGTAACTAAGTGTTTCTACAGACAACAGGGCAGCAGGATGCCTGTAACTGTCTCACGACCACACGGCTGACTTGAACTCTGGAGGCTTGGTGGTTGTAGTAGTATACACCTGTAATCCCAGCACTCGGGAGGCTGAGGTAGCAAGGTTGATGTTTGAGGTCAACCTAGACTACATAGAGCTCAAGGGCAGCCTGCAATACACAGAGATCCTGTCTCAAAAACAAAAACAAACTGGAGACTTGCTGGGTGTGGTGGCACATTGTTGCAAGTCAAGGTTTTTTGGATATACGGTGTCATTATGTAGGCTACACCTAGCTGAGTTCACCAAGTTCTCTGCTAAGGTGCGGGGGTGGGGGTGGGGGGGTACATTAAGGGTGTGGCTTGTTTATTGGGATGAGCAGCAGTCCAGGAAGCGGGGTGTCCAGGGCACCATGGAGGCAGCAATAACTCCAGAATTAAAAGCTGTAACTAGGTGTTTCTACAGGCAACAGGATGCCTGTAACTGTCTCACTGCCACGTGGCTAATTTCATCCTCCCTATTGTCAGCTGGACTTAGACCAGGCGTCTATTACAGTTCAGTGAAAACATTAAAATGGCGTCAGAACTATGATGCAACTAGTTAGTGGCACAACGGTTGTAGTTACACACCAGCAGTTGGTACTTGTTTGAATTGATAAACTTTACGAATTTCTAAGTTTGTTGTAAATTTCAAATTAATATTTTTATTTGGGCAATTCAAATTCAAGCAACTAATGCAGCCTATTTATAGATATTAGTGAAGACAAGGGGTGGGCTTCACAGGGGGATGGGAAAATAGGAATCCAGCTATACCACGCCCAAGTTCTCTGATGCATGTGATTATGTGTATCAATAATGTACCAATAAAATCTGATTTAAAAGTGATTACTCATCCTTATCACCAGTAGTTCAAACCGGTGGGACCACATTGAGCAACAGCTGGAGCCAGCACGTAGCAGGTAGCACCCAAGGCCAGCCTGGACTACATGGTGACTGTCCCAAAAAACCCGCCTGAACTGCAGTAAGGCAAGCAGGGCAAGACACCTAGGCTCCTCCTGACTCATATGCGAGTGAAGTTTACACATAAAATAACCACACTTAACAGAACTTTTTAATTTTTTATTTCACAAAGTTTTGATAAAATTTCTCCAAATACCAGATGCATGATGAATTACACGAAGGCAGGACAGCTGTCAGATGTTCACATAAATACATATAAACCTCCAAGAGCTGCAACAGGTCCACCCCCACCACCACATAGTCCAAAGATACTACTGTAACCCCCAACACTTGCTTCTGAAGCTCAGCAGCACCCTCCCAGGAAGCAGGCAAGGTTCTGAAGAGACTGGGTCAAGCAAAGACGCCGCAGGGATTTGAACCCCGTCCTGGAAACCAGGAGTGCCAACCACCAGCATCTTTTGCTTTTTTTTTTTTTAAGCTAGAAAAGGCCAAAAAGCAAAACCTGAGAAAACAAAATGCTTTTGTTTTCTCAGGAAAAGAAAAACCTTTACAACCCTACTGAAGAGCACTGCACTGGAGAATCTGCTTCCGCTAAGATGCTAAGCTTGGCCAAGGCTTTGTAACGTTCACCTGAAAAAGTCTTAGCAGAGAATTTTTGCAATCCCACCCAGCAGCCCTCGCCACCACTACAAACCTGTCTCACTCAGCTGACCAGTCACACGTTCCCACCCAGCATTACAATTTTTAAACATGTTATCTGTTTTACTGGCTTAAGATGGTTTTAGTCACTGGATAAGTGCATACATGAAACACCTTAGAGCTATTTAGTTGTGGTTTTAATCGTCTGTTAATTTACACGCAAACCAGTGGCCTCTTCTAATAGTGCAACCCACGGGACCTCAGCACCACGGTTACCTTGAGAGATAATGCACCAGGCCCACAAGGATCCAAGCTACTGGCTGCACCAAGGTGAGGAGTGAAAGGTCAGTGCTAGGCCAAAGGCAGGGGGTGGCGATGTGGCAGAGAAGTTGCTTGTGGGGAGACCTTGCTTTTAACAGGCTTCTGGAAAAGCTAGGGAAAACAGGTTGCCCGCTTTCCCACTTTCCCTCCCCTTCAAGCATCACTTGAGACTGGGCTTTGTTAAAAGCTGCTATAAAAACAGCTTTACATGTTACAGTGAGCCCATGGATACTTAAGCCTTCTTCACTCCAGAAAGGCGCTGAGCCGAGTCCTCACTGCTAATAAAGACCGGATTATGAGGCTGACACGACTCATTGACCTTAGAGCTGTCTCTTGCCACAGGAAGGCTCCGGATGTCCTACTTTGAGCCTTCGGTGCCTTTAGTGAGGGGTACCTGAAAAATCTTAAAAAGAGGCTTAGCGCCCACCTCACCCCTCCACCCCCAGGCCAATACACAACTTGCTCACATGCTAATTACTCCAGCATAAAGCTGAAGCCTTTTCCACACTGATTCATCGTAACTGAGCTGCCTTTGTAAGTATATAAAAAGCTTGTTCACCTGTTGTCCTCATTTTGTCCACTGGTGAATTCAACTGGAAGCTCCTTCTAGTCTGCAGAGTACCATCTGAAAGAACTATTGGTTCCCAATCCCCACATTTAAACTGGAATATTTGGTTGTTTTTTATTTAAAATTAATAGGCTATTTTTTTCCTTACTGGGTCTGGCTTCTCTGGCCCTTCGAATACGTGTTGCTGTTCTCTCATGTTCCTGTATGTAAGAATTGAGACCAAGGGAGGGGAAGAGAAAAACCCACAAGACAATGCACTGAAAGACCACTGAGCTGTTAAAAGTATTTTTCCACTTGCCAGGTACAGTTCTTGATGACTGCTGCTTGTCTGAATTTATTTCTTGTCACTGACTTTAAAGGTTGAATCTGGAAAAGACTAAAGGCTTCAGTTCCCCCCCCACCCCCCCTACCAGAAATTAACAAAAAAAGCATTTTACCTAAAACAGCAAAAGGTACTTGGCTTTCATCACAAACACAGGTTACTTAAAAGCTGCAGAAATGTCCTCAACACTCAGCCTGTTATCACTCCACTCATGGATTTTTCCTTTCAACAATCACTACTCCAGACATTGGGGGACACAACTTTTGATCACACTCCAGTCGCTTCATAATGCATTCTAATAGCAGCGATCAGAACAGTACTGCGTTTTTATTACTTGCCAAAAGGACAGACAGACCTGAGGTCAAGACAACTGCGTTCTCTGTAGTCTGTAAAAAAAACTAAAACAAGTAAGCCCCGTCCCCTCCTCCCTTCCCTTCCAATTCCAGGAGAAGTTTCGAGTACGCTGATAAACTCACTGGAAGATCTCACACTCACTAGGAGAACAGAAGGCAGAGCAGAGCCAAGCAGGCATATGCAAGTCAAAATCCTGAACAGCTCCATGAAGGATGAAATGAAGCCTCTGCAAAGGAAAATTCTCAAAACACCCACATGCCCCCTTTCCCAGATGCCTGGCTGCACAGTGTGATACACTTTAACACCTGATGAGATGGTTAAAGCACTTTTAACATGCAAACTTTGGAAATGGGGAAAATTATTACTCTAGCCACTGTCATATTGACTCCTGACTTTCTGGAAACAAAAGAGTTACCTTTTACTCTCATTAGCTCCCACCTGTCTAAGAAGTATTTATTCCTTATTAAGAGGGCCTCTATTGCCATGTCTGGGATTTTAAATGATCATCATTTTATGAAGAATAAAATGTCTTTCCTGCCTTAAGTTAGTTAAATTCGGTCTTCTGCTCAATTCCTGCTCTTGTCCATTTAAGTGTTCGAAGACAAAGTTTCTGAAAGATTAGAGAAGAATACCCCCCAAGATTGCCCCAACACTAACTACAGACAAACAACATTTTATTTAAATAAGGAGACAGCTTTTCTAAAAACATACATTGTCTAGTAATATTTTATTAACTTGTATGATTTAATAGTTTATGCACAATACATTGCAACAATTTTTTTAAGGAAAATTAACACATCTGACCTTAACAGCACATTATGGTATCCCTTTCATAGGGTCTTCAGAGATTAATGATCAAAAATTCCTTTGTTTCATAAGCATTGTGATTAAGGCACTTGTCACTTGAAGAGGCTTTTAATTCAAGACATAAATGCCTTGAGTGAGGTGTAATATCCCATCACATGGAAGGCCACTGGCACAAGGCTAGACCATCCTAAGTATTTTTTAAATGGATGGAAAAATTCCTCACAATCCTGAAATTCCCCGAGGATGGGGTCAGGAAAACGTGCCACGTTTGATAATCTCCACAATTCATAATTAAGCACTTATCCCTAACATGCAAAATTGCGATGCAAGATAAAACTTATCTGTCAACAGCTGCCTGCTGTTTTCTGCTCCCAGATGAAATGAAGCAACTCTTCTGATAAGAGAACCTGTCTGAGGCAAACGAAAGATTGGCACACAGCACAGCCTCTTTCAATCCACTTGATCCCAACTCAATTATTTCAGCTTCTTTTACTCCAGGATTAATGTAGTATATAATCATTTTCGTTTCATTTCACTTTATTCTGCTTTTGTAAAAGCAGGGTTTGAGGTGGACATGTGCTCTTCGTTGTTCATCAATTTCTTATTTTTGTGGGTATAGCTTGATAAACCATTAACTTTAAAATGGTAGATTCCGTAACTTTTAAATTTTCATTCTTTTGTTTAAATTTTTTTGCATGTGCAGCCAATGTTTTCATCAGTAGTAAGGATCTCAGGGTTATCTTATTCCCCAGTGGAGGCATGACATAATGTTTTCTGCCTTTACTTATCATTCACCAAGGAGCTGTCCCTCTGCATACTACGTCATCGTCATACTGCCAGGCTCGTTATGACTCAGATGTTATCTGAAAAAAGTCTACAGAAAAAAAAGGTTTCCCCTCCCTCATCAACAAAAGCCCACCCTCTAAAACAGACATTTATAGCTCAACTACCACAATTATTACAAATAAACAAACTTAAAATACAATTTACAAAATTTTAAAAGCATACCTTTACATTACGTATTGCCAGTCATACAAAGGAAAATTTTTTTCCTAAGCTAAGAAAGAAAAGCTCTTACACACACAACTGAAAATGGAATCTTACTTGATAATATAAAAGCTACCATCAGAAGAAATCCCTTCAGGGTCATTAAGTCACCTCCTTTGCTCTGAAGTTCCTACAGTAGTATTAAGTTATATTAAATCACCTGAAAAAAATTCCAAAAGAGAACCAAACACTACCATCTGTATCCAAAACTTGGTTTTTAAAACTTTCCCAAGACTGTAAACTACTCAGTGTCACTCGGGTGGGCCAGACCAACCCCAGTCCAAAAATTTCCTTCCCCACGCCTCATGCCTCATCTATGTATTTGGCGGGGGAAGAACCGTATTACGGTTGAGCCTCCTTGCCCGAATTAAAGCACTGGTGATACACCTAGTGAAATCTTTCCCCGATGCCCAATTCAAAGATTGGAAGAAACAAAAAACTACAAGATTGTAAGTTACTTGCCAACTTGAATGTTGAGATTTCTTTAGTTTTTCCATCCTAAGTATTTAACTTCTCTGGAAGGAATTATCTGAAATCATAAACTAAACAATTACCTAAACCCCCCCATCCCAACCACAACAAGCTGCCAACTAAATTTTTGCCAAAACTTACCCCTCCCCTTTTGGTATTGTGAACCAAATTTGAAAACTTAACTTCAACATTTGGCCTAGCCAAGCTCTTCTGAAGTTCTCCTGAGTTGACTGAGTATGAATCAAAGCTGCACTGTGCTGTACTGTTCAGCTTCAACTGGAAAAACTCTTCCAAGGATAAAAGCAGCTCCAATCCCTGCAGGTGCTCGTGCCAACAGCATAGCAGTACACGCCTTCTCTAACCCAGTGTGTCAATAGTACTATAGCATCTGTGGAAAATCTTAGAAAAAAAAGATTTCCTCCCCCACCCTCTCTTCCCTGTTAAGACCATTCCCAAATACTGAGTAGAAACAGTTCAAGAGTTAAAAGTGCTTTAGAAGTCTGATAAAGGGGTTTAAGAAAAAAGTGAAACTACCAGCCAATTCTCCAATGGACAGCTCCTCCAGACTCAAACTGTGAGTGCTACTGGTGCTCTAGCGTTCTCTAGAAACTGTAAACCTGCGGTTTTCTGATTATCCTGATACTGGATTTTCCTTTTTTTCTGTTACCTTGAGTCATTTGCCTTTAGGATTCTAGACAGACCTAAGAGGAAAAGAACTCAAAACACGTTTTGCCCCAACCCCACCCAAAAAAACTCCCTCCCCGTTACAACACCCAGACTCCACATTCATAAAACTATTAATTCAGGGTGAGGAAAAACTCTATTCACCAAACACACACTTCATTACTCCAACTAAAATCGAAGTCCTTACAGATTTACTTAAAATTGTCTGCAGGCTCTATAAAACTCATGTTTTCTCTCAAGTAAGTTTTTAAAAAACTTGCCATCTACCATTCCTCCGTGCCTTGGCAGTCTGCCCTCAAATGCTTCAGACAAGACGCAGACAGAACGTTAAGCCTGAAAAAGAAAAACCTACAACACCCGGAATCGGCCTACACCCGTATGAATCACTTGACAAAGTACGCAACACCCCCAATACCATTAGGAAAACAAAGTAAAAAGTTACCATACACAAGTTACAGGAAAGGACCACACAGCCGACCGGGTTTGACCACACCACTCGCTCGCTCGCTCTCCCTGCAGCTCTGCACACTGCCATGCTGGGCTAGGAGGCCGCTATCTATCACCGCGCCGCTCGCCGCCTCCGGTAGTTGACAAGCCAAGGCGCTAGCTTCGCACAACCGCACTCGAATCTCCTTCCTCGACTCCTCTCCTAGCTTCACCAACCAACGTTAGGGGCGCCTTCCTCCACCAAACCGCACTGCTTCCTGGACTCCTTCCTATCTTCACCACGAGCTGCCGCGGGCTCCTCAGTCCTAGCTTCACCAACACTGGCTCCTGGATGCCTGTCTGCTGTCTTCCTAGATTCTCAATCCACTTCTCCGTAGCACCTGGGTCAGCTGCCATTTAATACTAGTCCTTAAGATCTTTTTTAAGTATTAGCGCAAAGTCCCACGCGACATTCTTGATCTTGAATTCAAAGTCCTTCAAATTTTTCAAAGTGAACTATGCTACTGGACTTGAAACCTTTTATTCTTCTAACTCTTCCAAAAGCATCCTGCCTCAGCCTTCACATGACTCCACTCCTTTCAGCTGCTTTTTCATGCGATTTTAACTGATTTCTCTACTAGCTTCAAATAATCTTCAGAATTGCCTCTGATCTAAACACCAATTTTTTTTAACGTTTTTAACCTCTGCACCACCATTAAGTTAAAATTGATGGGCTTTTTTTTAAAAAAAGACTACAATAATTAATTTTATCCAGTATTTCTGACTTCGACTTCTCTATCTTCTTTCTTGTCCAATTCTAGCTCGTTTTTCCATTTTCTGCCTTAAATACCTTTCCTTGACAATATTCTCCGTTTCCTATCTTGTTCTTCTAGTTTTCTTCTAAGTTTGAATACTTTGCCCTTTTGTTGCTCCAATACCTTTCCTTCAAAATTTTTCGTATTATCTTCTAAGTTTCTTCTGCCTATCTTGTAGCTTAAATTAACATGTCTTCCAAAGGCAAAATTCTTCTAGTTTTCCTATCTTCTGTCTTTTCTTCACCTTCCTGTATTTCTTAAGTTTTCCACTTCAAATTTCTAGTCTTCAAATTTAACCTACCATCCCCAATACTTATTTTCGGTATTTATAAAATACTTCACGACGCGATCTTTCTTGCGTCATGTCCTTCACTTTAACCACCTCCATTTAACCTTAAGCCATCGTCTTCTAATTTTAATCACCTACAGCCCTACTTTTTAAAAACGTTTAGGCTTTTTAATCATGTTGAACATTAGTCTATAAGGCTATACCTTTCACTAAAGGCTAAATCGAAAGGCTTCGGAGGCTTAATTTTTAGACTTAACCTTGCTCTTACTCCGTAAAGAAGCTTCATCTTCAAACAAAACGTTTATGCTCTTTCTCAAGCTACTTTAAGCCTATTTACTTCTAAAAGCTATTAAAATTACTTTAAAATTCTAAGCAGAATCTTCGTTAGGCTAACCAGTAAATCTCCTAGTTATAAGATCCTTTTTAAGTTAAAAAATAAACTTATCTGCCGCTTCCTCAAGCTCTGCCTCTCCAGCCTCTCCTTCTCTCGCTGCCTGAATGCCTGCTGCAGAAGCAGGAGGAGCCGTATTTATACACAAGGCACAGCACGCCTCATTGAACCAAAATAACCCTCCGCCGCCTTTGTGAGGCAAAAAAATAGTTCCCGGAGAGGGGTAAAAATAGAACCGAAATTATACAATAGTTCTATAGATTGTTCTTAACAGTTTATGGTACTTGAAAGCAAAGTAATACCCAGAAATGCTTCAGATTCGCTGGCAAGTAGGTATAAGCTGAAAACAGACCAATTAAGGGATGGCAATCACATTTAAATAGGTTACCAAACCGTTTAGAACTCGGAGCCATGATGAGGCATTTTAAAAATAGCTCTTAAAAATACCTTCGGTGTTTTCTGTGAAGTACGGTGGGCCCTAACTCCTGTCCTTTGAAGGAAGGCTAGCATGTGTTTGCCGAGGGCTTTAACTTCTCATTTCATACCTAACCCGGCGTCTGCCTCGGAAATGCCCGCGGCGGCCGTTCGCCAACAGAACGCGGGTTTCCCCGCCGCCCGCGCCCGGGGAGCTGCCCGCGATCGCGCCGCCCGCCTTGTTCTATCGAGAAACCGAGTGGGACAGGCGCCGATCGGCTCGGGAGGTCACCAGGCGCGATCGGCCCCTTCTGAAGAGGCCGCCTCACCCCTCCGAGGCTCCGGCATCGGGGCGGCCGCGCTGCGTTTTACACAACCTAAGCGGCTCGGCCATTTTGCACGGTTCACCTTCTCGCTTGCTAAATACCAGCTCGACCGTCCATCTTTGGTTGTTCCTTGTGAACATGAGCTCTCTGAAGCGTCCAGGCCTCACTTAAAGTGAGCCAAAGCCAAGCCGCGCCACCGGAGCCACGTTTAAGTGTCCTTCTAAAAGGGTCGCGAAAAACAAATGGCCTCGCCTCCCTCGGGCAGCCGCGTCGCGGGCGAGTCCCAGACCATCGCGGACGCGACTGCTTCTCTAGGGGTTTATAGATGCTGGGGCACCGCTTGCTTTCACCCTCACCTTAACGCTTTTTACATCACAGCTGGGAACAACAAAAAAGTGTTTTGTTTTTTGGTCTTTTTGAGACAGGGTTTCATTATGCAGTTCGGGCTGGCCTCGAACTCGCAGCGACCCTCTTGCGTCAGCCTCCCGAGCGCTGGGATTACAGGCGTGCGCCACCACGCCCGGCAAACAAAAGCTTTTTCGTAAACCCCAAATCAGTTTCTTTCTACAGTTTGAATACTTTTTAAAAACATCTCCCCGCGGTGTGTACCACCCAGGGACTCAAGCAGACACTGGTTGGGGGGGGCGGGTGACGGCGGCGGAGGGAGCAAAAAGTGGCGAGAGGCAGAGGCGCCGCGCCGGATTCCAGAACCCTCGGCGGGGGACAGGGGAGGGGAGAGCCCGGCGCCATCTCCGGCGCTTTCCGGGAGGAGACAGGCCAGGGCCGTGGGCACAAAGGCTGGGGGAGGGGCGCGGTTCCAACACGCTCCGCGCAGTGATACGCAGGCTGTGAGCCGCCGCCTGCCCGAGTGGAGTGCCGGATCGTAGGCGGACGCCGCCGGTTCTAACCGGCTCCAGCCGGCCTTGGCTGCCTTCCGGGCGCGGAGGCGTTTGACGCAGCGCTTCAGCGCGCAGGCGCGCCCCACCCCCAACGCTTATCCTGTTCGAGGAAGTGGTGTTGTCGGCGGTACGTGGCCGAGGGGCAATAAGCCGCCAGTTTTGGGGGTCGGCCTTTTGTGGAGCTTCAGATTTCGATTCTCTTTAGCCTAGGTCCTTTTTTCCTTCCTTTTTTGTCATCTCCTCATTGTCTCAAGGTCACCCATTAAGTAAAGGTTAAGTGAGCCCCTTGTAATGATCAGGCGCTGTCGCAATGAGAACACCCAGTGGGTGGTCATGTAATGGCTCCTCGCCTGGAATTCTCCGCGGAAGGGGCTGTCAGTCTTCACAGAGTTAGGGTTGGGGTTTGGGTTGAAGCACTAGCAGTTGCTGCTTTTTTTTTTTTTCAGTCCTGCGAATTGAACCCAGAGCTTTTACACTGAGCTGCATCCTCTGCTCTTTCATTTTTTGAGACAGGGTTTCGCTAAATTGCCCAGGTTGGGCTCCAACTGGACTTCCTCCTGCCTCAGCCTCCAAGAGTGCTGGGATGATAGGCCTGGGCCACTAGGCCCAGCTTCCTGTTTTGTTGTTTTGGTTTTGTGTTTCTTTTTTAAGAAACGAAGCAGTGAGACATAATGAATTCCCCCAAGGTACCAGAGGTCTAAAGCTTGGGGCCAAGGGCCGGGCCTTAGCATCCACCCTCTTCCCCTGCAGTTTTGTTCTAGAGTTTGTAACCTGGCATGTTTTTAGGTAGTATCGTCCAGAGGTTGGTTAGAGCTTAGTGACACTACAGGTTAAGATGGCCGCTAAGTAATGACGTGGAATTGTATATAAAGTTTATCCTCTTTTTTTTTTTTTTTTTTTTTATACAGGGTCTCACTGTGTGGTTCAGGCTGGTCTTGAACTCACTATGTAGCCCAGGCTGGCCTCCAACTCACAACAATCCTCCTGCCTCAGCCTCCTGAGTGCTGGGATTACAGGCATGTGACACCACACCTGGTTTATCCTCTTATTTTTTAAAACACCTTTGGTTCCTGTGGAGGACAATGCTTGTTCTGGGCATGGTAGCACACGCCTCTAATCACAGCACTCGGCAGGCTGTGACAGGAGGATCACTGCAAGTCCAAGGCCAGCCTGGGCTATAAAGTGAGCTCAAGGCCAGCCTGAACTGCGCAGTGAGACTGTCTCAAAAAGACCAAAAAAGCCGGGCGCGGTGGCACATGCCTGTAATCCCAGCACTCAGGAGGCTGAGGCAGGAGGATCATTGTGAGTTTGAGACCAACCTGGGCTTCAAAGTGAGCTCAAAGCCAGTCTGAACTCTAGAGCGAGACTCTGTCTCAAAATCAAATCAAGTCAAATAAAAAAGATTTTAAAAAAATCAAAATCATTGACAGCAGTTGTGAAGGTGAGGATTGGAGCAAGTCGGTACTGGTCCCCCTGTCTGCCCCCATCCTTCCCCTCTCACCCCAGTGAAATGAGGCCAATTTAAGCCTGTCTTCTCATCTGCCCTTGTCAAAGCTGTTCTTCTTTTCTCTTTTTTCATTTTTGAAAAGCCCTTCAGAGTGGAATATTACTGAGCTGCCAGTGATTCCCTTTGGAGACAGTCGTGATGTTTGCTTTGGAGCTGGAAATTTTTTAGTAGAATTTTAGCTATGGGAGGAGGAGAAGTGAGTTGGGTCACGTCAAGTTACAAATGGGGACTTGGGAGTCTGGGAAGTCACAGTGAGCTAGCAGAACGCATTCTTGAGTCCCCCTTTTGCCCTCCTGCTCCCCGCTTTCTCCCCAGGCCTGCTGTGGCCTCCAGAGCTGCAGTTTTTGGAGCACTGAGGGAGGCCCTGGGGCAGTGGAGGTGAAACTTTGGCAGGAGAGCCGCAGGAGCTACTTGTTATCGTTGAAAGCTCTAAAAGGTTGAACATGGCTGCCTTAGGAGCTGCGCTGGAGCCCAAGCAGTGAACTTTACTAATGAATCCCAGAGGGCTGGGTGGCCCAGGCCTGTGATCCCAACAGCCAGGAGGATTGCTGGGAGGTTTTTGTTTGTTTGTTTGTTTTGTTTTGTTTTGTTTTGTTGTCTTTTTGAGACAGGGTCTCACTATACAGTTCAGGCTGGTCTGGAATTTGCAAGGATCCTCTTGCCTCAGCTTCCCAATTGCTGGGATTACAGGCCTGCACCACCACGCCCAACTCCAGAACTACCTGTTCTATCAGGAAAGTCTGTCTCAACAAAACAAAATAATAGTAATTTAAATAAAAAGAATCTCAAAGGGCTTTAAACCAGGTGTGGTGAGGCACACCTTTAATCTCAGCACTCAGGAGGCTGAGGCAGGAGGCTTGTTGCAAGTTAGAGACCAGCCTGGGCTACAAAGTGAGCTCAAGGCCAGCCTGAACAGCCCAGCAAGACCCTCACAGAAAAGGTGATGTCACAGAAAGACAAAAAGGGGAGGGCTTTAAATAATTGTCAGTTTTCCTCCAGTCATCAGTAAGTGAAAAATGTATTTTTAGAGATCGTTGTGGTGTGGCGTGGTGGCGCACACCTGTAATCCCAGCACTCAGGAGGCTGAGGCAGGAGGATCACTGCGAGTGTGAGACCAGCCTGAGCTACAAAGTGAGCTCAAGGCCAGCCTGAATTGCACAGGGAGACCCTGTCTCAAAAAGACAAAAAAAAAAAAAAAAAAAAAAAAAGAGAATCTTATGGACACTAAACTGCTTGTACTGTTCAGGCCCAAACATTTACTGTGTTCATCTATGTTTTGCTTCACTGAACAGACTCGGGCTGTGTCCAGGATATTTTGATCCCAGTCTCCCCTCCCTCCCCTCACCTTTCCTCCCCTCGCTTCTCATCTCCTCTTTCTCCTATGTGGTCACTCAGGCACAACCGGTCTGGACAGGCCAGCAGTGAGTCTCTTCTTGCTTTACAAGGCCAGCCTGGCCTGGGGTTGTAGCTCAGTGGTGGAGCGCTTTGCCTAGCACATACGAAGCTCTGGGTTCCATCTCTAGCAGCACAAACATAAAAGTTAAAAATACTGTGTGCTTTGGTGAGATGTACTGATTATGCATATATTTGCTTATGCGGTCTTCTTTCAACTTTCTTTTTGCAGGCAGTGTCTTACTGTGTAGCTCAGGCTGGTCTGGAACTCCACATCCTCCTGCCTCAGCCTTCCAAGTCCTGGGATTACAGCCGTGCACCACCGTGCGCAGCTTATCTCAATTCTTGGAACTAAGTATCCTTTAAATCACATGGAATCTTTTCTCTGATGAATGTCAGTGTTCTTTAGCCTCACAATCAATGACTGCAGCTGCTTGCTGTACTGGTCCTTTCATATCCTGCTTATTCCCTTCTGTCTCAAACCTACTCTTCATTTGGGCCAAGGACGCCAGTTTAAGAGGAAGTCCCTTGGGGCTGGGGATTTAGCTCAGCGGCAAAAGCGCCTGCCTGGCAAGCGCAAGGTCGTGAGTT